AAAAAAAAAAAAAAAAAAAAAAAAAAAAAAAATTAATAAGATTTTAAAAATGATTCTTATGGAGGAAAATCTGACTTTCATGATTGTCTTCCAGAAAAGTGATGTTTTAATTCCTTCTTCCAGCAATTTGTGAGAGTGCCCGTTTCTTACTCTTCACAAACCTAAAGAAGACAGCTTTCAAAGTTGTGTTTGCTGATCAGATGTTTAAAATATTATCTTACTTTCATCTTTTTTTCTTTAAAAAGCATTTTTTTTTCCCTGTTTGCCATTGAAGTTGAGTGTGTACCGAGAAGCAGAATTCCTTGTACTACGCCCCCCTGGGAAGCTCTCTGAAAGAAGTCCTCCTCTGTGCCAGACTTTGCACCCTGTGGCCCGAGTCACTGCCTAAGAGAAGAGGGTTGCTTGTGTAGTTGAGAGGGAACAGTAACTTGGTATCTTAGCCTAAAATTCACCCTGCCTCTAAAGTCACCATTAACTCAGTCAACTGCCAGACAACTCCTCGTCCTGGAAGTGGCTTCTGTTCCAAGTATTCTGCCAGCCCCTACTTTTCCTTGTAAGATTTAATTTTTAGTGATTTGACAAAAAACACTGAGTTGCTGAGGCATATTAAGTGAATGGAGTTGCCGTTGGTCTAGGCGGCCCTGGGGAGTTGGAGGGTGTTTATGAGTCAGTTAGCTATACCATAATGTAGGAAGTAATGCTGGTCTAGAACGTTCCAACAGGAAGTAATGCATTACCATGAGAACATGGGGAGATTTGGGCTGAATGTGAAAGCCAATGCTAAAAACTCCCTACCAAAAAAAAAGGAGGAGGGACTAATATTTTGAAGTATTTTTTAAAGTGTCATTTATTTAAAATGTATGTGTTGTGGGGGAGCCTCTCACTGAGCCTGGAGTTCCCCATCTTGACTAGGCTGGCTGGCCAGAGAACCTCCACAATCTACGGTCTCTCCCACCTCAGTGCTGTTACACTCACATACTATTTCCCCAGCTTGGTTTGTTTGTTTTAACATGGTGCTGGGGATCCAAACTCAGGCCCTCAGTTTAGCCACTGAGCCTATACTCTCTATTTCTTTTTCTCTTTCCTTGTTTACTAATTTCAAACTTATGTTAATTATATTATATATTATACTCCCAGAACTCTAGAGGGCTCCCATTCCCGAACTGTTAGGTTACAACGCGTTGAAATCCTTTTAATACTGCTGACATGGCATTCAACACTAGTCAGAAGGACCAATCCCTGAGCGTGCCCACACTCTATGCCCGGTGTGAAGTTTGCTGTTTGGTTTATACCGTCTCACACTGACTCCAGTCACCCTTCCAGGAGTCTGTTGTTGCAGTGTATGGCGGATGACTGTGTGGAGGCCTGGGCAAGGCTCTAGGGCCTAAGCAGAGGCCAGTAGATCCAGGCCCAGTCCCGGAGCCTGAGCTCATTTTCTCAACTGGCACCCACTCTCAAGTCCGGGAAATTAATGCGGGCCGAGACACTCCATCCTCGTCTGAACTTCCCTTTGTTCCAGGCCCGCTCTATTTGCTGAATGCTGAGGAAATCGCGGAGGAGATTGGGAATATGTGGAGGACGACGTACAAGTTGACCAAGACCTTGCTTGATATGCCTGCCCCCAAGCGCTTAGCTGAGAACGTCAAGTTGAAGATTGAGAAGTTCAAGCAGCACATACCCATCCTCAACATCGCCTGCAACCCCGGCATGAAGGATCGGCACTGGCAGCAGGTTCTCGTCACCCCCTGTGTGGTCCGGCCTGCCCCATCCTGGGGACCCTAGGAAAGCAGGAAATGAAAATCTCCTTGAGGCCAAGGAGGTTGTAATTGGCATGTTGGATTTCAGGAAGGGAATAGGTGGATCCCTTCCTGAAATGGGATGAGCTTCCTGTCTCATGACCAGGTCGATCCTTTCGGTTGGACCCCCACTTCTGGTGTGTAAATATTCTAACACAGTGGTTACAGTCACACTGGGAAAGCTTTGATTTGCTCCTCCAGCATCTCCTGTCCCCCCCAGCCCCCCCCCCCCCCCCCCCCCCCCCCATGTGCCTCCCCCCTTTCTCTGAGACCTTGCAAATGATCCAAGATGATTCTTGTGCAGGCTGCCTTTGGTGTCGAGTTTTCTGGTCAAACAGGATAGGTTTTTTAAAGAGTTTGGTACATTGGGTGTGGTGACACATTCCCATTAGTCCAGCATTTGAGAAGCTGAGACAGGCTGCATAGTAGATTCCAGGCTAGCCTGGGCTACAGAATGAGGCCTGTCTCAAACAAACAAACAAACAAACAAACACACAAACACACAAACACACAAACACACAAAGAAGTAAGTTGCACTCTTTAAGCTCCGTAAGCCTATAAATTAGAACAGTAAATATTCTCTCTAAAATTAGTTAGGCTTTTCGTAAGCAGGAAAGTGCGAGGGTGAAAAGTGTGGTGTGAACAGGAAGCACGAGAAAGGAAGGCTTGCTGTGTTTCGAAAGAGTTGTCATATTCAAATGGCCTTGAAATGCCCTCTACCAGGGAGCTGCTATGTGGAGTGGCAAGGTGGCCGGCTTGACATGGGCAGATTCCTCTCTAAGGACTATGCATGAGATTGAGGTCACGACCCCTGAAAGAAGCCAGTCTCCCAACACACATCACATTTGGTGAACCCCCAAGCTGGTGGCAAGGAGCATATAGATCGCCACAGGAAGACAGGGTCTTGAGTGGCTCAGGGTCTGCAGGGAGGAGCTGTCTTCAATTCTGCAGTAAAGCAGGAGACCCAGGACCCCAGCAAGGGTTGGGATGCTGTGCAGGAAGGCAGGTGACAGGTCATCACGTGGGCCTCTACCCTAAAGGGAATCTGCAAAGGGCTTCTGGCCTTCTGGATGCCCCTGGGGCTTCTATCCCCATGGATGTTAATAACCTTTGATCTATGTGGGGAGCTAAGAATGTTGGGATTTGGGGATGTTGGGTGGACAGGTGACTTCTTTAAAATCTTTTTTTTTTTTTTTTTTTTGAGACAGGGTTTCTCTGTGTAGCCTTGGAGCCTTTCCTGGAACTCACTCTGTAGCCCAGGCTGGCCTTGAATTTACAGAGATCCACCTGCCTCTGCCTTCCGAGTACTGGGATTAAAGGTATGTGCCACCACCGCCCGGTGACAGGTGACTTCTTATAGGGCCAAGTTCATCCTTGAGATGGCATTATTCAAAGTGTTTTCATCAACATATAAAGAACACTCCTTAGGGCCAAGGGTGTAGCTCAGTCATAGAGTGCTTGTCTAACAGTGCAAGCCTCTAAATTTGAGCCCCAGCAACTTAAAAATATTATCCATAATTTTTTTAAAAATAGCACTGCAGGGGTCTCTATGCCTTCCCTCTGGTGCTTCCTCTGGCATCCTGCTGTCCTCCTGTGTAAGCACTAACACACCCCCACCCCCCAAACCCCCGGCATTCTTAGTTCTCGTCCTTCTTAAATCTTTCCATGGGCCACTTAGACAAATAAGCCCTAGACTTAGAACTGAGTGATGATCTCAGCTCAGGCACAAGCTCCCAGACATTGGGTCGCACACTTTATTTGAATTCTCCCATTTCATCTAACAAAAACTCTTTGAAATAGGGACTGTTGTTATCTCCAGTCCATAGGCAGAAAAACTGAGAATTGGAAAGATGAATTAAGTTGTCCTATAGCCAGTCAGTGGACCAGGAGGGAGCTGGAATCCAGGTCTCTTTGGCTTAAACAGAACAAATGACAGGAGAGCCCCTGAGGAGTGAGGAAGACAACAGGCAGAAGGAACAGTGGATCCAACCCAACGGTAGAATGCAGCCCCCAGGAAGAAGGAAGGAGTCTCTAAAGCATGCATCCAATTGGCCTAGCAGACAAGAAAGGACAGGAGTCACCAGATACACTAGGGGCTGTCCCCACTTCAGGCCCCAGACCTGTGACAGCCCCAAGGCTGGCAAAGCCAAGATCTGCCCTAATGGGTCCCCTCAGGAAACCCATTTACACAGATCCTGTTCTGGTTAAAAGGCTCTAAAAACTAAGCCACCAGTTACCCCTCAAGGCCTGAGGGCAGATCTGGGATCCTAGGACAGCTGGGCTGTGGTTGCCAGCCATTTGAACTGACGCAACAAAAAAAAATGGTGCCTTGTGTTGGGGTCGTAGACTTTACAGATCCCAACAAGGTATTGCTGTTTGGGTTTAAAACAAGATTGGACAAGGAAATGCACAGCCAGTGCTATGGACCCAAGCCGGCCCAAAAGCTCAGAGGGCGCTGTCCCTAAGAACAGAACCAGCTGTACACAAGTGCTAGTGTACACCTGTCCTTTCTTGTCTAGCAGCCACACTTTAGGACTGCAACTTTTTTCTTTGTCTTTGTCTTTGTCTTTTCTTTCCTTTCTTCCCTTCTTCCTTCCTTCCTTCCTTCCTTCCTTCCTTCCTTCCTTCCT